GTGATGATGATGATGTTATGTTTCAATTATATACTCTGTAATGATACTACAATGTTAAAAGTCACACCAAGCCCCCGGACGTTTCCGCCGTCTGGTTCGGGGGTGTGACAAAAGATCCCTCTTCCAATCTAAAGAGCACACAATTATAGAGAGCAACCACGAATTAGGGTTTCTGAACTCATGTTAGGCAGTAAGAGAGGCTAAGGGGAATAAGTGGTCCTTAAATAGGGTGCAAATCCCCGGAATTAGGGTTTCATCCTCCAGCTCCTACTCGTCGAGTCCCTTCTTGGACTCGGCGAGTAGGTCACTTAAGTTCGCGGCCTAACCCGCTGCTACTCGACGAGTTAGGAAACCAACTCGTCGAGTAGACCTTGAATCCATGAGAATTTATCACCATAAATTGATATTCGAGAATCGGGGCGTTACAGATGTAGGAATCTTTGTATTACCAACTCATTCCTTGGTTGTTGCTTGTGATGATACATTTGATTTCAAAAATTGTTGTGGTTTGAAAATGGTACCATCAGATTTAGTAATGAAAACAGAAGAAACTGTCTGAGAAGAGTCGGAATTAATAGATTGGTTTTCAATAGTAACCCTTGTTGGATTAGGACTGACAGACTTGTTTTGAACGTCTGAACTAGGAAGATTTGATAGCCTTTTAAGAATCTTAACAGGCACAAAGGTATTGTGGTTCCTAGTGGGTTGGCTAACTGTCCGAGATACTTTCTTTTTGGAGCTCTCAATGAATCTGGAATCTTGCCTTGACCTAATTTCCTTTTTGAGGGCATTTTTGGCTTCAATCTTAGGGTCGACAACATCTTTCTTATTTAACGAAGGTTGTTTTTGAAATCACTAAGATTGTTTTTGAAATCACTTGAGAATTAGATGATGACTAAGAAGTTTTTCCAGCTAATGGATTGTTAAACTTATGCTCGATTGGCACTAAGGTTGTTTTTGAAATCACTTGAGAATTAGAAACACACGAGTCAGATGAATCATCACATACAATTTCTTCATCATTGTCACTATCTAAGGATGCCCAAATGAAATCTGATCTATCAAAGTCGAGTCCATTTGTCTCTGGAATTAATTCCTCAACAACACAATTGTTAGGAGGACCGAAGTTCGAAACTTGAACTCTAGTACGAGTGGTGCTAGGGAATGATTTCGAGGTCTGATTCAGGTCTAGGTGTATCAAAGGCGGAAGAGGCATGGAATAAGGACATCTGGCAACTATGGGTTGAAACTCAGGAATCAGAGATTAAAACCGGTCCGAGGTCTTAGAAAGGGGTGACAAAGGTGAGACAGCGGTGTCCGAATATTTGCGGTTCGGAATGTCTCCCATAAAAGTTAGATTTTTTAACTCATTCAAGGGACGAACAACAGGTTTCAGAAACTCGCTTCCGAGGCCTGGTGCTTTGGACCTTGGATGACGAAAATTATGAGTCATTCGTTCATTCGCTTCAATAATATCTATTGCATGATGTAAAGCATCAATTTTGGCATTCAGATGTTTGTTATCAGACACTAAAACATTTCTTTCAGAATAAGTGATTTCATATCTGTCTTTTAAATGAAACATCCAAAAAATATGACCCAAAAATTTCGTTTTGAAAATATTATAAGAAACTATAATCATCCATAATCAATAAGAAAACCAAGTGTTATGTGTCTCAAAATCTCATATCAAATACTGTATCAAAAAAAAAAGAGAAAATATATCAGAGTCTCAATAAATCCCAGGCTGAAAGTTGTGGTGTGTGCCATGCGATCATCCCGAGCCCTTCCCCTTGCTAGTGGAAGCACCTGAAACCAAAACTAAACACTGTAAGCACGAAGCTTAGTGAGCTCCCCCAAACTACCACATACCATAGAATAACACTTATAACACATATTGGGCCTTGCCCACTGCATCGGCCCCCGCCCGACATTGGACCGAAGTCCGACATAAATTGGGCCTCGCCCACTGCATCGGGCCTTGCCCGGCATCGGACCGAAGTCCGTAATAACTTGGGCCCCGCCCACTGCTTCAGGCTCCGCACGGCGTCAGACTGAACTCTGGAATAACTTGGGCCCCGCCCACTGCATCAGGCCCCGCCCGACATCGGGCCGAAGTCTGGAATAAACTGAACATAACATAAACATGAACATATAACATAATCGCATATACTGCATCAGGCTTGCCCGACATCGGACCGGAGTCCGGAACATATAACACATATCATAAACATGCATGAATCACGAAGACAACAAGCATACATAACTACTTCTCGGGACCACCCCGGCATCGGACCGAAATCCGGAACTACTATCATCTAAACAGGCCGACATTGTGGCCGTAGACCCGTTCCTACTGGAAGGAAACTCATCTCACACTTCTGAAGTCCCGCTGACAAAACCCTAGCTGTTGGATGACATATTCCCGAATCTATCAACATCAAAATAACACCCAATTAATAATTGGGTTCTAACACATAACTATAAGTCCATGCTTGGGGTAAAAGACTGCTTTACCCCAATCGTAGCTTGATCCAATCCCAACGCCCAATCAAAAGGCCCAACAGTCAACTATGAGTCAAAGCCCAACATATGGCCCAATTTTCCAAATTGGGCCCAAACCTTTACATCATCATAATTAAAGGCCCAACTACTTAGTCCAGTCCAAACATTTGGCATTCTGATGGTCTAATATCTCATAATCATCAAGGCCCTGTTATGGCCCACCTATGGCCCAATTTTCCAAATTGGGCCTAAGCCTGTCCAATGGGCCTTATCCTAAGGCCCAATCCAAATATTCTAGTCCAAGTACTTGTTAGTAGTTGGCCCATCACAAGTCCAGACATCTAGGCCCAACAGAAAGGCCCAACTCTAAACCCAACACAATTAGGTTGGCCCATCACAAGTCCAGACATCTAGGCACAATTAGTAGTTGGCCCATCACAAGTCCAGACATCTAGGCCCAACAGAAAGGCCCAACTATAACTAACAAAATTAAATCCATTGCATTATCATATGAATCAAACATAATGACTTAGCTAATCAAACCTAAACAAAAGTTCTATTTAGTTATTGCTTTCTAGAATCGCTTTTTTGTATTTCTTCGTTAGTTCTTTTTGTTAATCGAGTTAAGTTTTAAGTTTTCTAAACTTGCGAAATCAGAATCCTCCCTTTTAAGTTGTTTAACTAGTAGTAGATAATTTATTAAGAATCATTTCCGTTTCCAAAGTGTTCGACAACACGTAGTTACTAAATAAAGATTGCAAAACGAATAGGTACACTTGCCTAATTGTGTAGTGAGTTCAGAGAGACTAAGTACAAATTATAAATATAAATTTGATATAAGAAATTAGCACATCAAAAACCCTAACTAATGGTTATGTACTTGATGCATTAGAGTAGATTATGGTAAAATAGGTATTTTTAGGATGCTTAATTCATCAATTGCATTGGATTAAGAGATATTATGGAGTATAGAAATTATAAATTTGATATAAAAAATTATCACATCAGAAGCGTCTGAGTTCTTAAACGGGCGTTGCCACGTCGTGGGGCGTCAACCACCACGTCGTGGCCCACCCAAATATTACCATTTATATTTTGATATATATATATATATATATATATATATATATATATATATATAATATTTTGATATTTAAGAAGCATATATACGACATTTAAATTTTTTTTATCAGGGTTAAATATAATATTTAGAAAATAAGTTGAGCAAATATGATTTTTTGATATTTAATAAGGATATCCTGTAATTTTAATAAAATAAAACATATAACATGTTTAGTGGCGACGACTTTAACTGCGACAAAGAGGCGATAACGATAATGTAATAAAAGTGACAGAAAGCTCTTTGCGACTCAGTAGCAACGACCTATCCCCACTAAAGCCTTATTTTTTGTTGTGTTATCGAGGCCAACTCTCTGACTCAAAATCCTAATTTTACTTGGAATGTACTTTTTCCGGTTGGTACTGACCTCTCCATTTTGTAAAATCATTTCATCCATGAAACGTAATGGAAGACAAAGTATGTATATGGAATTGATATTTACTTAGATTTATAATATATATGTTATTTTATCCCATTATTTACTTAGATTTATAATATATATGTTATTTTATCACATTACTGAAGATATCTATCTATTAAATATTTATGCAAACGCCTCCATGAGCAAGAACAAATACAAACGTTAGGGTAATACACTCTTTGGTGGATGTTTTCATTTAAAAAGCAACAAATCAAGAATAATACACTTAAATAATGGAAAAAACTTTGAGAATTTTAATTAAATACATAGCGACAAGAACTCTTGTCTATATAGAATGGCATACCGAGAAAATCACGTGTACGGGATGAAACTCGTGGCACACTCTTTGATGAATGTCGGTTATTTACTAATGAATCTTAGGCATGAGATTAAATCAACATGCATACATATATCGGCCAAGATATTTTTAGGTATTATTTTGGTTTAGTATAAAATGAGGACTAGTTACTCTTGGTGCACACTTTCCGAACTTCACCTTGAGAACCTGTAAGGACCCCAATCCTGCCCATGTTAACCATAGAGACACCAAAGTCCTTGAAGAATGTGGAACCATGGCTAGTAGCTTGAATCATGTAAGCTCTATGTTGGGTTTAATCTTGACATAAGATGTTATTTTTAGTTTAGTATTAGTTTTATTTAGTAATTGAATAAAAGATAGTAGTTCATGGGTTGAATGGGTCATGTGGACCAAGTCTTTTGGGGCTTTTAGAATGATAGGTTTAGTGTTGGAAAAGAGGAAAACGTGTGCTTGTTTTTGGTTAGTTTAATTAGGTTTTGTAGGCTATAAAAAGCCTTTAGTTTTCTGAATATTAAAGCAGCTGTTTTGAGTCGATAAACAACTCTCCTTCTTCTTATTCTGTTTCTGCAGTGAAGTGAATATAAAGGCCTGATTTCCAACATATGGTATCAGAGCCTAGGGCTCGTTTAGAAGAATCAGGTTTGAGAGTCGGTGGCGAGAGAGGAGGTGCATCCCTTGGCTGCAGGGCTCAGAATGAAAGAAGATGATGGTTGCAGGGGCTGAACCAATATATTGCTGCTACAGTCAAGACCGCCAGAAAGAAGAAAGAAAGAAAGAAAGAAGATAGAAAGAAAGAAAGAAGAAAGAAGAAAGAAGAAAGAAAGAAGATTGTGACATGCAACCTGTTGGCTGTTGCTTTCTGCAGAAAGAAAGAAACACAGAAAAAGGATCAAACGAGGGGGGTTCTCGGCTGTGGTGTATTCCGGTTTCTGATGTGGTGTTAATGGCTCATAATGGTGTTGACAGATGAAAGTCCGGTTGTGGTTGTTCGATCCAAGAGATAGCAAAAAATGGCTGTTGAGGAAGAAAGCAAGCAACAAGATGAAGTAAGCAGAAGGGTTCTCAGCAAGAGAAGACCAAGAGAGCAAGAAAGAAAGCAAGCAAGAAAAGCAAGAAGGAGCCTAAGTATGTTCTATGTTAGAAAGTAAGAAGCAAGAAAAGAAAGTAGTCTGTATCAAGTAGCAGACAAGAAAGAAAGCAAGAATGAAAGATAAGCAGCAAGGCAGATCATGTTTGTTAATCAAAAGAAAGATGCAGCAAGTTTGTTGTTTGTTAGCAGGTAAGAAAGAAGAAGCAAGCAGCAAGTGATTAACAAGCAGGAGAAGGCCGGTTGCAAGCAAGATTATAGCAAGTGAAGCAAATATCAAGATTGTCAAGATTAAGGGGGTGAATGTTGGGTTTAATCTTGACATAAGATGTTATTTTTAGTTTAGTATTAGTTTTATTTAGTAATTGAATAAAAGATAGTAGTTCATGGGTTGAATGGGTCATGTGGACCAAGTCTTTTGGGGCTTTTAGAATGATAGGTTTAGTGCTGGAAAAGAAGAAAACGTGTGCTTGTTTTTGGTTAGTTCAATTAGGTTTTGTAGGCTATAAAAAGCCTTTAGTTTTCTGAATATTAAAGCAGCTGTTTTGAGTCGATAAACAACTCTCCTTCTTCTTATTCTGTTGCTGCAGTGAAGTGAATATAAAGGCCTGATTTCCAACACTCTAGTCTCTGGGTCATCTAGTAAGGCTGCATCTGATTGAAGAAGCCCCCTCCTCTTTGTCACTAATTTGAAATAGGAGTCATCGAATGTCTTGAAGCTTCCTGGGTCTAACTCAGCAAACATGGTTAGGGTCCATTGTAGGGTCTGTATCCCTTTTACCGGTGAAGTTGTAGAGCCGGCTATCAAATGACGAACAATGAGATATCCCTATGGTGTGCCCTCCTATAAATGAACAAGAATCCACATGTATAAGGATTATGAAATGGTGCGTTTCAACTGGATTTGATTTTGACATTTAAAAATACATTGCTGACATTGTCGTGATAGATTGTTGCTTAAAGAAAATTTCACGTACGAAATTGAGAAGAATGTACCTGAGAGAACAACGAGGTCTTTTGTGCTTAGGCCCCGTAATGCCCACGATTGTTTCAAAACACTAATGTTTGAGGTAAATGATGGCAAGCCTGTCACTGGGGTTATGGGATCAAAGAATAAGGACACATTTCCATCTCTTCGGCCTGTTTCAACCTCCCAATATGGTCCCTTAGTCTGTCAAGAAGTGAAAAAAGAAAAACGAAACATAATTAGTTATCGTGCAACTTGAAATGAAAACAGGATAAAAAGTCATTTCCGAAATTAAGATTTGAGAGAACAATAATATATACCGCCACTGTAACGTCTCTGGCAACTAAGGCTACAATGTCAGCACATGAAACCACATCTGGGTAGGCCTTTTCTAACGCCAGCTTCACCCTATCGATGATGTTGAACCCTCTTAGGCTTAGATTTGGTGGTGAAAATTTCTCGGATTGATTCGTTGGAGAATCCAGTAGGACAGATCCATCACAACCCTATAAATAAGAGAGGCATTAATCAAGTTATATTAGTATTTTAAGAATGTAAATTACGATGCATATAGAGGGGAATTAAAATCTTTTGCTAAAGTATGCTTTTACGAACCCTAATGAAGCAATCGTGGAAGTGCATTCTCAAAAGAGGGCCAGATAGAGATGGTGCTACAGCCATAACATTGCTGATAACCTTAGATACTATCACCTCGGCCTGTGGGCATGATTTCTTATAGAACCCTACTTTCAACCCTTGGCCTTCTGCATCTACAGAAACAGTGCTAGGACCATTAATTGAAGCATGAAAATCCCGAATAAGTTCTTTCCACCAACCATTTCTAATAGGAAATACTTCACAAGTTAAACTTCTTCGTGGGATATTTGAAATGTAAACGATATCATGCCTCATTTTATAGTTTGTTAGGGAAACGCAATAATTTTGAACACGATATAAAGGTCGTTGTCACCACATGGCATGCATTTATATATTATTGAAATTTAATAAAAAAAAAATGCTTGACTTTGATAAATTAACACAATGACGCCGTTTAAAAAATGATACAGATAGGAAAACTGTCATGTTAACAATGGTACTATTTGCTAGGGTCCCAATATATAGATGACAAGGTTAGCCATCGTCTAACTGTTTAGAACAAATCATGTTAAAAGTAAGACAATCGAAGGGCAAAAAAGAGTTGACTTTAGCACGAACATGCATTCCTCAATCATTAACCTAATGCATGACCACCGCAATATCCCAACAAGTTATAAAGAATTGGAAAACAAGTTGTAGAAGAATATATAAAATAAACGAAATTAACTGTTAAGCTAATCAATGGATCCATTAAAACAGATGGCTTCATAAAAAAACAGGGTTTGGTAAAATCTTCTAATTAATATTCATAAATATTTCATAAACAAGTAGCAACCATACCTTTTCTTTTTCGATCTATTCTATACTCCAGTGTTCTTATCTTCTTATTTCTCTCGATCGGATGGATGGGATTTACGAGATGCAATTTACACGGATTGAGTCATTTAGCATTACAGCGACGGTAATATCGGCGACATCACTGTTTCCGGCAACAATAATGTTGTCACCTGTAATAGCGGTTGTCGCCGCTAATGCCATGTTTTCTTGTAATGGTCGCGGATGCAGGAAAAAACCCACTACTAGAAAAAAAAAGGCTTTCAATTACAAACGAATTACTACGTACAAACAAATCCTTCGTAAAAATTTTTCATGCTTTGTGATTCAGGACAGGCATACTATGTAACAATTTGCGAAAATTTACGATGTAGAAAATGTATATCATGTCTAAAATAGAAAACCCTCTCACCATTCTCTTCTTTCTCTATTGTTTGTTTTTTCCACCACGCTATATCTTATCTCAAACAAATTAACCAAGTGAAATCCATGAAAATGGAAGGTTTTTTTTCCTCCTATTCAAAAATATCAAACACTATGTTGTAAATCCTTCTAACTGCTTTCAAGTATCAAGTATTTCGAAAGCGCCAATTTCAGTCCAGGTTCTCTAATGGTTGATTTTAAAGAGAAAACTTCGTTAATTTTAAATCAGCTAGCTTATGCACAATTACGACCGATAGCTCCACAATTTGTAGAATTTCAAGGCATCAGAGTCGCAATTGCACTTTTGATTTCGAAATTTATCTTGCTCAATAGGTTATGAGAATCATCGATAACTCCCAACGCTCTCTAACCTCGGAGTTTTTTGGCTTACAAATCTACTAGGGTTCTTATGATTGGGAACTTAATTTCGTTTTTTTTGTGCTTACTTTTGTTATAGCGGTTAAGATAGTGTGGCATCGATATCGGTGAGTTATGGCCACAAATTTTATCATGATTACAGTAATGATAACAAGAATCAACTTCTCCTCCATCTTTTGTAATCCATCGTCCATTTCAGGTACATTTTTTTTGTCGATGTCATGTACCCTGCCGCTATATTTCTTTCTTCTTGATGGATTTATATATTTTTATCGTATCATCTTTTGTTTTATTGAAAATTATGTAGACTTGCTTCTACCTGCTTATCTCTTCTTATCTCTACACGTGCTTTTTTTTCAGCTTACTTTTATATGCACACTACATGTTTGAGTAAATACTTCAACCAAATATATATTAGTATACTCTGAGTTTAACTCAGAGTTTTATATCAGTTGTATCCATTTATATGCACACTACATGGTTGTGGGCTTAGGGCAGATGCGCACAGTCGGTTGTTTGTTTACTCTGAGTTTTATATCAGTTGTATCCATTTAGTACTCATAGAAAGGATTATAGAATCATTTTTACGTATCTTTCATCAAAGTAGGAAATATAGGATTTTCTAAGAGGAACAGGCGAACTTTTCTAATCAGAACTTACAACTTACTACATTTTTCATCTACATTTTCAACAACATTTTACAACAACTTTCTACAACTTACTTACATCACTAAAATCTTATGAACTCACCAGCTTAATTGCTGATCAACTCTTTCAAATAACTTGTATTCATATGAGCCTAGTAGACAGGTACTCGTGCTGGGAATTCAGAAGATGGAGCATAGTAGCTTCAAGTCTTGTTTTGTTATTTGATTTTGTATTCTATGTTTTGTGAACACACACTTTGTAAACACTTTCTTTCTAATAAAATGGTTGTTCATTACTTTGATTACTATGATGCATGTCTTGTGATACTAAACATGACGTCCTCCACCCCAGAACGTTTCCGCCGTTCCGGTTTTGGGGTGTGACAGATTGGTATCAGAGCATTATTTATAGTGAACTAAGTATGTCAACCGATAATATATATACAACTATAAATACAATGGGGCTTAAGTGCTCTGGATAATGATATATTTTAAGAGTATAACGATAAGTTATAAAAATATACCTACTTGCTTATACATGTACATACTAGACCAAGTATCACAAGAAGAACAGAACTAAAGTATTTAAAGGTTGAACACTGTCGTCAAACCTGAACAGTTATGTAATCATAGCTAGGATCAATATAGCCTGATCAACTATATTCATTCGAGATGTGACCGACATGTGTTTGGGAGCGATGTGGTGTTGCAATAGTCTTAAAACTTACCAAAACACCAGTCAAGAGAATACTAGATCAAGTACATTAGAGTTAGAATACTATAGGAGTATTCTATGATACTATAACGCGATAACAAGTTTGAAACATACCAAGTAGATTACATTAAAATACTATAGGAGTATTTTACGCACTATATAAACAACTTACATGACAACTTAAAGGACCCTTACGGATAGGTATATAATCTTACAATGTATACTCCTAAGGTTTTATATAATTGAGATCTTATGGACTTAGAATTTGTGATCTACGCTTCACTACCCATTCCTTATTTGGTTGTGGTTTTGGAGTAGGATCACTTATTCGAAGGTCTATTTAGTCCTAAGTTATATACAACTTGTATACATTGTGCAATTATAGGAGGACTCTATAAGGATCACCCCATAATGTTTCACTTAATCTCATAGATTCTTTAGACACTTCCATTCTCACACGACAAACCCAGATAGATGTAACCACTTCCTCATAGTAGACAATAGAAGAGTCAGGAGGAAGCGAGAGCAAGATCATGAGGAGCTTTCAAAGAGGGATCAACCGAAGTAACCAAAACATCTTACACGTCACACTAATAAATAATAATCTTGTTAACTTAAAGAGCGAGTGGAGACACTGCTCACATTATGTGTTAGGATTATTTTCTTACATGCAGCTGGTAACAGTTATTCAGGCAACAAATATTCATTCGAGGATAGCCATTTCAAATTCATAGAGTTTATTAGGTATAGACTCTTTTATGAATTATTTCTAGAACCCTGTAGAAGTCAGGACCCGATGCACTCAGAACTAGGATAACCTTGTCTTTTCAGCTTTCGGCTTGTGTCCACTGATATAGACTTATTCCGTCTCATCTTTGTATTCTTTTAGCAAAGATGCCTCCTCACAGATCAAACAGACGCACTACTCCGATAACTCCAACTCAACCGCCCCTACACCCGCCACAGTTCGACCTAGCTGCTTTTTAGGCAGCGGTAACAGCAGCAACGACAGCCGCCCTAACCCAAATTCGCGCAAGAGGTATCAGTGGATCTGGTAGCGGTGCTCACCTAAACAACCCCGGAGATACCCACGAACACCCAAGAGAAAGTTCATATAAAGACTTCATGAACTGCAAACCCAATTCCTTCGACGGAAATGGTGGAGTCATCGCTCTGATGCGATGGTTCGAGAAAACAGATTCGGTCTTCGAAATCTGTTCATGCCCAGAAAGGAGCAAAGTCAAGTTTGCTGCCTGCACCTTCTCCGGAAGAGCCCTAACATGGTGGAATGGCCATGTTAAGTCACTCACTCTAACAGTGGCAAACTCTATGGGTTGGGAAATCTTGAAGGAAATGATGATGGGAGAGTACTGCCCAAGGGGCGAAGTACAAAAGCTGGAACAAGAGCTATAGGAGCTCAAGATGGTTGGCTCAGACATAGTGGCCTACACTGACAGGTTTAGCGACTTGGCAGCACTATGCCCCGGGATGGTTACCCCGGAGAGCAAGAACATAGAAAGGTACATCTGGGGTCCTACTGCCCCGACCTAAGGAGATGTGTTGTCTTCTAACCCAGCCACATTCGATAGTGCCAAACGTCTGGCCCAACGACTCATCGACCATGAAGTCCACCATGGCATAGAAGTCCCGGTTCCCGAGCCATCGAGGGAAGAGGACTATGGACAGAAGTCGGGGAACAAGAGGAGGAATAAGCAACCAACACAGGACACCCCGCAGTAGGAACGAACGAGAACTATGTACACCGCCACAACACCTGCTACTCCAGCACCTGCCAGTCGATATGCTGGAACCCTTCCGAAGTGTGGAAAGTGCAACTATCACCACACCGGAGTATGTCCGAAAATGCAGTGTCTGAACTGCCACAGAAAAGGACACACAGTCCGTTTCTGCAGGGCACCGGCTCAACCGATCTCCCAAGTCCCCGGAGTTGAAGAAAACCAAGCCTGCTATGGCTGTGGTGAGACTGGACACTACCAGAGAGACTGCTCGATAACAAAGAAGTCAGGCGCGGATGGAAGAACTCTAATGATCACCGCAGGAGAATCGACCTCAGAGTCGCCATCGAGCAACGGTACGTTTTGATTTAGTAATTGCTTCGAAAATTAATTTATATTTATATAAGATTAAAACTTGGGGATAACACTTAAAAGTAATTATAATAACTCACTCATAGGAACAAGTCGCAATATTCAAGAGAACTAAAGAATTCGTTTAGAGAAGCTATGATGGTTAAACATATACATCAGGGTTGTGCATAACTAAAATGTTGCAGACTTAGAGTAAGTAATTTCGCCTTAATTCCTGTTCCTTGTTTGGTTGTGGATTTGAGGCAGAGTTACTCAGTCGACCGTCTTATTCATCTTAAATATTCATAACTTGAATATGACAGGCGATCGTAGTGGTACCGAGGAGGATCATGATATAAAGTATCATCACCAGTTATCAAAACACTTTCATTTGTATGTACTCGCTCATCGCAGTACGATACGTAGAAGTGTCAACATCAAAGGGAAAACAGAAAGCACAAGAACATTTACAAAGAGTACATTGTTGAACACACTAAGAGTACATTGTCGAGCACGCTAGGAGTACATTATCGAACAGACTAGGGATACATCATCGTATAACAGACGTTTCTCTCAAATTGGCGAAAACTTTGTTTAGTAAAGAGTCTGTTACTATCATTCGTCATGAATTGGCGTGGTCCTCACCATACTAAGTTCATATGTTTCTATCGCCTCGATCGGCAAGTTCTCGAAACTTTCGTCATTCGTATCGACAGTCCGACCTAAACCTCAAATTTTATCTTTCGTATTCTAAACCCCGAAGTACTCGTGCGAAGAGTACTTTGTCCTCCGACGCCTTATCGTCGGATGTCCGCAGACCGTCACGAAATACCACTCGTCCAACAGACCAAGTTCGAGCACAGAGGCTATGGACGAATACAGCCCACCTATCACTATTCAGTGCATATGTGAGGGTAGTATATGATTATGATTACGTAGATCTAGTATGTGTGT